ACAAAGTGCTGTGCCTGCCACGAAATCTGCACATGGAGGTTCACAAATTGCTGCACCTGCCACAACATCTGCACATGGAGGTTCACAAAGGCCTGCCACGAAATCTGCACATGGAGGTTCACAAAGTGCTGTGCCTGACATGAAATCTGCACCTGGAGGTTCACAAAGTGCTGTGCCTGCCACGAAATCTGCACCTGGAGGTTCACAAAGTGCTGCACCTGCCACGACATCTGCACATGGAGGTTCACAAAGTGCTGTGCCTGCCACGAAATCTGCACATGGAGGTTCACAAAGTGCTGCGCCTGCCACGAAATCTGCACATGGAGGTTCACAAAGTGCTGCGCCTGCCACGAAATCTGCACTTGAAAACCTAATCACAATGGACGGCCGACCGAGCATGACCCGAGACCGTCTCGCAACAGTCGTTCCGCTGAGCTAGACTTGCCAGGTTCGAAGCCACCGGTTCTATTGAAAAATACAGCATTTCGTGCGTCCGCTATCTCTCGAAAACGCATTTTGTATTGCACCTGCCACGAAATCTGATGAGTGGTGTATGATGAGTGGTGTATGATGAGTGGTGGTTTGATGAGTGGTGTATGATGAGTGGTGGTTTGACGAGTGGTGTATGATGAGTGATGTAAATGTTCGTAACACGGAAGTTCCTTCTAAACTTCCTTTGATCAAAAAGAAAATTACCTCTACTCCTTTGGTCGCTTGGTCCTTTGCTCCCTTTGCTCCCTTTGTCCTGGTCCCTTGGTCCTCTGATCCCTTGGTCCTCTGGTCCCTTGGTCCCCTGGTCCCTTGGTCCTCTCGTCCTTTGGTCCTCTGGTCCCTTGGTCCTCTGGTCCGGTCCTCTGGTCCCTTGGTCCTCTCATCCTCTGGTCCTTCGTCCTGGTCTTCGGGTCCTTGGGTCTGCAATTTCGAGGCAAGACGCGTTCAAGGTGATTTGGAAATCTGGTCATATATTCTGTGAAGCACTGTAGCGGACCTTTTATCACCAGACGTAGCAGACCTTTTTTGGTGAGCCACCCTGACGGTAAAAATTGAACGAAGAAGGTGCCATTCCAAGGTAGCAGACCTTTGTCAGCCACTGGAGAGCAAAATTTAGAAGAAGAAGAAGAAGAAAAAGAAGAAGAAGGAGCCATTCCAACGTAGCAAGCCTTTGTTTTGTGAGCAACCGCGCCTGCCACGCAATCTGCACTTCGAGGTTCAACTGCTGCGGCTGCAATGAAATCTGCAGTTCCAGTGCTCAAAGTGCTGCGCCTGCCACGAGCCCTGCAACCGAAGGTGCTCAAAGTGCTGCGCCTGCCACGAAATCTGCAGTTGCAGTGCGCAAAGCGCCGCTCCTGCCACAAAACCTGCCACTGGAGGTGCTCAAAGTGCTGTGCTTGCCACAAAATCTGCACTTCCAGTGCGCCAAGTGCCGCTCCTGCCACCAAATCTGCTACTGAAGGCGCTCAAAGTGCTGCGCCTGCCACGAAATCCGCACATCCAGATTCACATCGCGCAGCGCTGCCAAGGCGGTTCGCAGTGGCAGGCGCAGCTCTTTGTGAAAGGATATTTTGTTTTTGATACTAACTAATTGTCTTTTTGATAGGATATAGATTTTTATATGTATATATATTTTTTTTTTCTTTTTGATAGCCCGGCCGATCTACAATGGGTCCGTCCATCGCGTTGCCTGGAAGTGTCAGAGCCACTGACGAAGTCGAGCGATTCGTGTGGACGACTGGCCGTGAACGGCATTGCCCGAAAGCTCGAGTGACGTTGAGCGCATGTTCAGGAGGAGTTTCTGATTCTAAGGAGAATGTACTGATTCTGGAAAGCGGGGAGATGCAGTCGAATTCATCTTGAGGTTTGTGAGATCTTCGACGTAGAGGTTCTTTCCAGAGCTAGACTTCCAAAGACTTCCCACATGGACCACCCAACCACTGGGAGCCAAAGAAAAACATGAACCATCATCCATGTTCATCTTCACCCCTGGCGGGTGCTGTGTCCTGCATGACCCTCGTCCCTGCTTCCCGTGTGCACGGCCTTCCGCGAGGTGGCGATTCAAAGCATCCACGAGTTCAGGAGGGACACATCGACGGAGTCAAAACCTCTGTCTTTTTTCGGGTGCCCAGGAGGCCTCTGGGCCGTTCGGTCGCCTACTGTCCTGCATGGCCAAGACCATGGCCAAGACCATGGCTGTGCACAAAAAGCCCACAATCAACAGCAGAGTTGCACATGTCAGAGGACTTTGAACTGTAGGAAGCACTGCGGAAGCGAACGGCGACCAACGGCGTTCATTTGACAACGGGAACAAGAGTCCACGAACGGTTTGCAATAGGAGGGCGAAAGGTAAGCACTTGTGGATGTACCTTTAATGACTTCCTTTGTTTATGGTCTTCGCAAAAGGACATACATATCTGTGATTGAGAGCATGAAAGGGCCACAAACAGGAGCCAACGATTGGAGGCTGTTCACGGAGAAGTTTGTTGGACAACCCAATAGCACAATATGGAGATCTTCAGAGTCCTTTCTGAGAGTAGACACCAATGCTTTCTGCCAAATGTCCTGGAGATTTTGCCTTGCCCATGAGACTTATTTGTGTTTTCTCAACGAAAACGAACCACCAGTCGCCTCCACTCGCCGCTGGTGTCGCTGCCCCTCCTCGCTGGTCTGTCTCCGGTCGCCGTCCGGAGGCCTAAGCAGCTCATTACGCTGGCTGAAGCTTTCGCCAAGGCGCAGGCGAGCCATGCGATTCGCCCCAGGCACCAGGCGGTGAGGTGTCACCTCAGGTGTCCGAGCCCCGGCCGAAACCCATGAGACTCGATGAGGCTGACCAAAGGTTCCGAGTCGAGTCCTCGTGGTCACCTGGACTCGATGAGGTTCCCACTCCGGGCCGAATCGGTGAGGTGTCTCTGTTCCGATTCATGGTCTAGAATTGGGTCCCTCTGGCTGGTGAGGTGATTCATTTGAGAATGTTTGTTACTGGTCTCCACCCAGTAACAGTCCAAGTCCAAACATGTCCAAACATAGTCATCACACTCTATTGATCGTTCCTCTTTTGGTAGGGATCCCCGTGCTGGGAGCCGGCATGAAATCCTGAGTGAGTGAGTGACTTTCACCCAGGGCCCAGGGCCAAACAGGACCCCAAGGGCCCCGGGATACCCATCTTCGGCACTCGGCAGACTCACAACGAGGAGCTCTTTAAGCTGCTTGGTCTCAGAATGAGAAAAAGCTGAGAGAAAACATTAAGATACATTAAGATACACATGAAAGGTGGTCAAAAGTACATGGGGGACAGGCTAGGGACAGGTGCACGAAATCATGCCAAAGCTCACAGGTGCTTGTTGCTCCCAACTCGTTTTGGGATCATCATCTACTCAAGCCTAGCAAGGATGTTTCACCGGTCCCGTGGATGTTGGTCACTGAGGTCCATCAGCCGAATGGTCGCGAAGAACGTGGACGACTTTCAGAAAGAGGAATTGCAGGCCGCTGTTCGCCTGGAACTCGTGGTTTCGTCGACGACTTGCTTTCGGTGTTTCAGGCCCTCAAGGCTGCGGCAAAAGCACACCCAGCTAGTTGGGCTACTGGGGGTTCTTGTCCCGCTGGGGAGTTCACCCGTTGATCTTCAGGGTCTCGATGCTAAGACACTGCTCCTGGTCGTTCCTTTTCAGTCATGACAGCAATTCATACCGTCTGATCATGGCCCACCAACAGTGATCAGGCCCACTGGAAGTCTAGTATCTCCTCAAAAGTTGGGCAAGTGTCTAGTTTTATGTAGACGTTCAGTAGATGTTGGTCGGTTTTTGAATGTTTTTGATAGAACCTAGCAGATGGTTTGTTTGTATCCCTACTCCCTGACAGACAAATCCCCAAAACGAAAAGCCCGTGACCGTCCGCATCATGGCCCAGGAGTTGTTCCAGGCCTATGAGGCCGGGCCAACGACGGTCGTTGCCTGTTTGGTCGGGCACGGAGAATGGAGAAACCGGGGGCGGAAGAAAGGATGTTCACATGTCCAAGATCACAAAAAGTCATATGGAAGATGATGGAAGTGTTTTTGTTGGATGAAGGATTGCTTTCCAGAAAGGGTGGGTGGTAAGAAAGGATGATGAAAGGGTGGAGCACGTCCATCCCTGACGTCGTGCGGCCAGCCGGTGGCTTGGTCCAGTTGGGGTTGAGCTCTTCCCCGACGAAGGCCGTTTCACCCGCAGCAGAAGAGCGAAAGACCAGGAAAGCCAAAAACATATTAAAAGAGAAACGCCCTTGTTGTAAGGAGAAAAACTTTTTTGATGGCCTTTTTAAAAATGAAATATGTTTTTGGAAAGCCTGCTGTTAACCTGTTTAGTTGTTTTTGAAAGGCCCCTTTTTGGTTTTATGTCTACCCCCACCTCGGTTGGCTCCGCCTCGGCTCCGCCTCAGCGCCTTTGACGCCTTGACGTTCTTTTTGCAGGCGCTCGGGGCTTCGAAGAGTGAGATCAAAAAAGCCATGAACCAGGCGGCTGGGTAGATTGCCCGGGTGGTTGACAAGGGCAGAGAAGAACATTTGGGCGTGTTTGATGCCATTGGGACAACTGCTTTTTGGTGGGGATATGCGCTTGTGCTACTGCTTTTGCTATGCGGGTTGCTTCATCCATAAGTGTCACTATCGATGTATGAGCATATCAATGTCCGTTAGATCGAGCTGAAGAGGGACGCCGTTCCTCTTCAATCCAAAATACCAGACAAAGCCTCTTGCATCTCCCCTGTCGGACGGATCACTGATGGAGAGAAGAAAACATTGCTTGATTAGGTTACTAAGCAGTCTTGCTAACCACGCGGACCTCAAAGCACTTTCAACCTGAAACAAATGCTTGGATCTGGAACGTGGATTCATGCTAACATCATCTGAGTAATTTGACTATGACTGTCCACCAAGTGGTGCATTCATTTCTAGAGCAGCATCCTGTGGCAAGTAGCATGTCTTCCTTCATCCAACTCAAACTGTTGGACGATGATCAAGAATAGGCAGTCACAGGCGCGCTGGTGCCCCGATCCATTCGGCCCCTTTGCTCATCTTTGCTCAGATATGCATTGGCATGGACCAATTCCGGAACCAGTGGGGATCTTCCACTCGATTTTCCGGGTTTGGTCGAAAGAATGCATGAAGCAGTGCCAGACTGTGCCCCCTCAAAACTAAACGAGTTTGGGGTTCGGACTCGGAAACAGATTGCCTAAGAAGACTCCACAATGCGTGGAGTGTCCCCTGGAATTGGCTCTTGGTATCCCAAGACCACTCGCTGAGTACTTGGTCCATCGGCTTGAATTCTTTGCGGTCTAGTTACAGATCAAGAGAAACTCACCCAAGAGCTGGCGTTCGGAGCCCAAAAGAACCGATTCGGCCTCCTTCCGAAAAAGTGCATTCCCAGGAAAGTGGAAGTCGTTTCAGCTCGATGATGTTCGTCATGATTGTCCGAGCCTGAAATCCTCGGTCAAGAAGGGCTGAAGCTGACCCCTTCAGAACACTTCTGTGAACTATGATTCCCCTCCCAAGGTAGCCACCCCATCATTGACCGTTGATCTGGGATATGATGGGGTGGGCTTCGAAGTCATGCAGTGTATCGGTAAAAAAAGTCAGCGTTCAAGTTCAGGCTACGCTAGTTTGTGGGAGGGTACACTCTCACTCACCAACACACAATTCTACCTATATACATTGATCCCTGAAACCCCAGTCTAGAAAAATTGTTCAGGAGGATTTGGGGGGGATGGAGTACTGGAATGTATGTTCACAATCTGACCTGATTGATGATTTGAACTTCCAGACAAGGGGGGCGCTACGGCAGAGGAGAAGTCGCCCAAGTGTTCAACGATCCTTATGCCCTTCCGGTTCACTGTGGCCTCAAGTTAGCATCTTGGCAAAGAGGATGCCAATTTCAGAACTCCCAGGAATTAAAAACGCAAATACTTGTTTTTGACCGTGAACCTCGCGAGGTTATTCTGATTGCATTAACTTTAATTGTTTGGCGAATCTAACCCAAAACAATATATTATAATTACGAAAGCCAGCCTTCGTAGAAGGCGCTAGCGGAGTTGTGTCTGGCGAACGAAGTGAGTAGTTAGGGGGTCTGGGGGGGTGGCCCGAGAAAGGGACACGTCAACTCAGCACATGCTGGGGGAGGAGGGTGCTCCGAGGGAAGGTTTTTTGAGGTTGTGTTGGAGGTGATTTTTGAGGGGTGGTGATGCAAGAAATGCCAAATGCATCATTTGCATCATCTGAATGGAAAGGTGTAGTTGGCACCTTGCAAGGTAGAGAGACCTAGTGTAGCTATAGTGCAGCTACCAGGTATAGTACTTCAAGTTCCCTTTCCGTCAACCGCTTGAGAACCTCTACACACGCACAGCAGTCCACAGCCTTGAAGTCTCATTCGTGCTTTGAACTTGTATAGGTGTGTAAGAGGTATAGCAACATACTACCTGAGAAGCTGCAAAACGAAAGCCAGCGCTTCCCTTTCTCGAGAACTGCGCGTCGAAGCATAGGATAGAAAGGTAGGTCTGCACCCTAGACCCACCATCCCACTCCATTTTCTTTCATTTCTCTACGGCAGCTCCGCTTGGCATTTGCCAGGTGGAGGCGGCCGTGAGACCTCTTACACACCTACACAAGTTCAAAGCACGAATGAGACTTCAAAGCTGTGGATTGCTGTGCGTGTGTAGAGGCTATCGAGCGGTTGACGGAAAGGGAACTTGAAGTACTATACCTGGTAGCTGCAAGCAAGGTGCCAACTACACCTTTCTTTTCAAGGTGGCCTGAACAGAGTGTTTCAGGGCAGTAAACCGTGGTCTCAGGCCACCTTGAATTTAGCTTGAAAACCACAGCTACATAGCTACCCTGGGTCTCTATACCTGGCAAGGTGCCAACTACACCTTTATTTTCAAGGTGGCC